GTAAGCAAACATAAGCATCATATTAATGGCCGAGTTCAAGTCATCCTTGCGCAGTTTTGAAACAACCAAAGAAAAGTTTGTACTTACTTAATCGTTGACAGGTTTAAACATGGTTATGGGATGTCCGTTTTCTTTTTGGTTCAGAAGTTAGTGTAAGTAAATATGTGTCGTATTAATGGTCGAGCTCAATTCAGTCCTGTGTAGAATTGGAACAACCAAGGGAAAGTTTGTACTTATTTATCGTTGGAAAGTAGGAAAAGTGTTTAGTCGTCAGAGGACCGGAGACACTAACGTTATCCAGCGGGAACGTAATTACCACGTTATGCTACGAGCTTGCTTGTAGCAAGAAGGAGAAAGATATTTATTCTGCTATGTACAGAAATGAGGCACAAGGCCAAAAATGGGGAAAAGAGACGGTTTCATCTATCTTAACTTTAAACTTAGCTAGCCAAAAACACTGACCCAAACATACAATATTCCTTACACCAAAACAACACATTCTTACTTACCTTTCTTAGTACATCCACCATAATACCTCATTCTTTCTATGAAAGTCCTAACTAAACCGCATATGTACAGTTCATTGTCTGACGGGGAGGGGAATAAAACAGCAATTTTAAAACTAGTTCCAATATGTATTTACAATATGAATACAAATATATTTAGAAGAAACTAAACAAAATAACGTTAGTAATAAAAACCCCAAAATCCTTAAATGTGACAGAAACATCAGTTAACTGGATAAAATCAACGCAGGACTATAATAACATAATAAAACATTCATTCATCCCGAGCACTCACACAAATAAACACTCATTCAGACACAACAACAAATACGAAAAAAACACGCAAAACGAAAGGCGCCCCGCATCCACCAGAGAACTGACATCACTGACCACCTAACGAGGGAGGGGATGGGGAATTAAACCAAAGAACAAATGGGAACAGAAGGAGAAAGTGAGTAAGGCAGGAAAAGGTTTGTCTTTTTATGGATTTCAACGACGCCACCTAACGGCGTTGTACCAAGCAAAGTGAAGTAATCACATTTCCAGTGCCTAGACTCTTAGCATCATGGGAAAATGTATTTCTTTTTCTTTTTTTATTATTCATTACCATTATTTTATTTATTGATTTTACTTTATTTTCTCACAAGAGTTTGGTTCAGACTTCCGAGGAGGTTACAGAACCTAAAGGTGTTCCGGGAGTATGCTGGTCGAGTGTTTAGGTGGAAAACACTTGTCTCCTGGTATATTTATCCCACAACAAAAATAGCGAACTCGGAATGTAACTCTGGGTAATAAATGAACAAAGTAACACCAAAACTATATATATATATTTTAAAAATCAGGAGTCCAATTGAATCCGCTACCCTGGTTTCAACTTTATGGTATCCTCAGGCGATTTTTATCAAAAGATCTCTTAACGTTTTATTTTTTTTTTTAAACTAATGAGTGCTCTGTTATTTTTAAAAAATAAAAAACAATCATTGGATGTAATAGAAGAAGAAGAAGAAGAAGAAGAAGAAGAAGAAGAAGAAGAAGAAGAAGAAAAGCAAGGATATTATAAATAAATTTATCGGTGGTGGTGGGAGTAATTGAAATGTACATTTTTTATCCAGCCTCATATGTGCTTAAGAGGAATTTCTTAATATGTATGCAAGGACTCAAGACTTTGGATAATTGCTAATTTTTCTTGTTGGTAGAGGTTGCAAATATTGTTGTGGTTGTTATAAGGCTTCGCCTTTTTTTAAAAAAAAGGTCCAGCTTACAATCGAATCCCTGTTGTTACGTTTTTTTTTTTAATTCCACACATGGCCAGCTAGTTTGGTAGAACACCAAAGACTTTCTAGCTTGAATGAAGACCTATGATTGTACCAGCTACGTTAGAAAGTACATTCAGTATATCCTATGTACGTTTTATTTTGGCCATTAATATCTGTTACTTCTGCTTTATAGATTATTGCTTCGGTTTTCAAACTCCATCTAATGGACATCTATTCTTATTTCTACAGTTGCATAAATTACTAGTGTTAACTATATTTTGTTGCGCGTTAGTTTTAAAATTTCTGGTGTTTTGTCTATTTATCATTGTTTCTAAATTACTAGTGCAGCTGTAGCTTAATTTAACTGTATTTTATTGAATATCTTATGTATATAAACAAACGATAAGTATGTATTAACAAAAGAAAGGTATAAATAGACAATACGATATTGTTGCGTGTTACAAATCAATGACTATGAAAAAAGAAAACATTTAAACAGGTTAAGGTGTTTGTGTAGAAGTGTAATAAGCGTGTGTGATATACACATGTGTATATATGTGTGAGAGAGAGTTCAAAATCAACAGAAGACCAAGGGAAGCGAGCGCGCCTCAGCGGCAGCGTTCTTATCTACGTGCAACCTACATCTCACTGTCCCTGGGTAAAATAGGAAAAAGAGGATGACAGAGAATGTTACCGTATTTATAGGCTTAAGGAGCGTCCCCCTAGCGACGGTTTTTTTAGGAAGTAAGTGGGGTAATTTCACAATACTCCCCTTCAGATGAATTTTATTCAGAGAATTTTATTCTGCCCATAAGGTTTATATATGTTTGTTTTGTTCCTCGTAGGCTGATAAGAAAAAGAATCGAAAAGTGTGGTTGCGATGTTTGTTTAAACAAGTCAACGAAAATGCACTTGTCTGAAGTACTGTGTCATCAGAGTGCTATATAATTTTCCAATGGGTCAGAGTCGTAGGACATCTTCGAAGATATGTCGATAGTGTAGAAAAAGAGTGTTCAGCAGTTGGTATTAAAATTTTGTTTTCCAATGTTCCACGTTGAACTGATTTCGTTTGGAAGGCCTCGTTTGTTTGCTGTACATGGATGATGTTGGTGTACAAAATTTTAATAGAAGCTTCGATAGGTAAAGTTGTCGAACTGATGTTGGTGAAATTGCTATCGCGAATCGAATACATGTTTGTGAGAACTTTGGAAGACAGCTGATATTGTCGATTTTTCACGGAGACGCAGCTATCTCGGTGTAAATTGTACTTGTAGATTTCTTTGTTTGTGTTAACATCTTTGAAGAATGAAAAAGGTCAATGAGTCGCCTTTGGAATTATTTCACCCTTTATCTGTTGAGCTTAGGAGAAACAGTGCCGTTTAAAGTTGAGAATGGAGCTGACTTTCATGGTATTTGAATAGTATTTTCTCGTGTGGAAAAATGTTTACTTACTTCAACATCGTAAGGTGAAAGTCGTATTTTTGGTTTTGGGGAAAAAATTTTGTGATGTCTGCCGGTGGTAGAAGGAGTCAGACATAATGGCCTAAAAGAGAAAAAGGGCCTAGCAAAAAGCAGTAGAGATGAGTGTTGTTTGCCTGCTGACCGTGCCGTCGTAATAGTAATTGCGATTAGGAATTTTTTTTTTCTTGGTGGGAGTCACCAAAAAATCTATTTGCTGACCCGGAGAATATCTTGTTGTTATAGACAAGCGTATGGTTGCAAGAAAGAAATACGACAACAGCAGAAATAGATTTACGGGGTTTATTTCAACAGGAACGTGTGAGTTTGGGACAGTTACCTTGTGGTAAAGTTCACAAGCCGGCTTCGGATCTAGGTCGATCTCTCATAGTAGTTCACACATGTTGACGGTGGTTGATGCTCCCCTGCTGTCAGCAGCTGAACGTGACAGGTCTCTACCCTGAGCACTTGTGGACTGCCTGTTGAACTTCCGTGTGACCCCTTTTATAGCGTTGTTTTATGGCTTAACAGGCTCGAAAACGAAGTGAGTATAATTAGGAGGGAAGCATTTTTATTGGACGAAACTTTAAATATTATTTTATTTTTCGACCGGAACTCGAGTGTCGGGAACATTTGTAAATGAAGATAATGGTCATTTTGTGACGGGGTTTTGTCCCGTTCACATCCGGCTCTCGCTCTTGCGTATATGCCTGTAAATCAGCCGAGATATGTCTTATTTTATTTTATAACATTGTCTAGATAGTTACATCGTGTAGATGTGTTTTAGAGATTTGAATGTGTGATTTTGCTTTTTTCTAATCACAAATTTTGTAACTGTAAGTTGTTTTTGTTGAAAGTTTTCCGTATGGTAGATAGAAGCTGGTCGAATTTTTTTTTCATTGGCTCCCGGTCTGAAAAAAAAGGTGTCTAAATGATGCATTAGCATGAGTTTGTTTATACAGTTTTGTGTGTTCTATCCAGGAGAAAAAAAAAATATCACGTCGTGATCATCAATCTGTCTTAGGTGACATGGCAATGATATATGAAAGAAGACATTTACTGTTGAAGGTGTTTGTGTAAAAGTAAATGTAACAAGAGTGTGTGGTAGACACATGTATATATGCATGTGTGTGAGAGAGTTTCAAAGTCAACAGAGGGCCAAGAGAAGCGAACGCGCCTCAGCAGCAGCATTTCTATCTATTTGCGACCTACATCTTACAGCCCCTGGGCAATAGGGAAAAGAGGATGACAGAAAATGTTACTCTCTATTTATCGGCATAAGGAGCGTCCCCCCAGCGACGGTTTTTTTTTTAGGAAGTAAGTGAGGTAACTCTACAAATGACAGCGGAAACAAAGGCTGAAGCGTTGTAAGTATAAAAAATAAAGATAAGAAAGCCAATAGGAACGGAAAGATACATCATAATGATATTTCTTCAGGGTTGGTATTCTTACTTAAATTAAATTTTTGTTCAATTACCTTGATTTGTTGAATAGACATTGCGTTGTCAATGTCGGTACAAATACACATTAAAGACTGGACGGACATTGGGACCTTAATTTAAATCCCATCTCATGCATTTTTTTTTTATTCCCAATAAAGTTCAATCTGTTTGTTTCTTTAAGAAATTCAGGATAGTGTACAATGTATGTACAACTATATTAAGTATTTGAGTGGATTTAATTTAATTTAGGGAATATTTTCGTTCGACACCGTACCTGACCGGCTGGATTGCAGTGAAGCATGTTGCAGTGTTATTTTCCCTCTAAATTTGCACTCATTATGAAATCTAGCAATTATTCCTCGCCGGCCCCCGATCTAGGGTGATGTTTTATTCCTCCTGCTTATTTGTGACTTGTCGATTGGTCACTAACTATTGTTTAGGGCTCGGCTGCAACTGCTGAAGTCCTGTCCACTTAAACTTTTTTTCTTATTACGGGCAAGTACTTTGGAATTTATCATAGTCGTCAAAATCACCTTTTCATTCATTATTATTTGCTATGTTTTCTGTTTTTATTCTTTTGTGATAGTTAAATTATTACATTGGTATAATAATGTCAATAAGGTGGGGGGTAATGATTTGTTTTTATTATCGAAAATTTAAACAAAATAGAATTTTTTTTTAATCGTTTGATTCAAATTTCAAATTAATTTTAGATTTAAATAATTATTCAATTTATTTTATTGCAAAAAAGATGTTCGTTTTTTCTTAATTTTTTTTTCCTGACAACGCTGTGAAGCCCAGGTTTTTCTAGATTAAATTAAAAAAAAGAAAAAAAAAAACACGGGGTATTTAAAAATGGTATTTAAAAATGGTATTTAATTTGTTGCTACACTAATAATTAGAAGACAAAAGCACTGTTTTTCATTCATTGAAAAGGTGTTTTTTACATGCAAGAAAACTGAAAAGTCTAATTTTGTGATAAAAAGAAGAGGAATTTACCTTCCGACGAGTTTCAATTTATGAAATTCTTTTATTTAAAAAAAATCCCCGTTCTTTTTTTTTTTTTATTTTACTATTTCTGTTTATTTTCAAAATAGGTTTTCTTCAGGGTCTAAAACAAAAGAATTGGAAGAAGCATGTTTTAAAAATTAACTCAATTTAAAACTCTATCCTTTATACTCTTCTTATTTTTCTAAGCCTCAGATAAATAAACTTTATTATTCTGAAAGATGACTTTTCTTTTTACTTGTTTTATTTCTCAAAATTAAATTTACCCCAAGATACATTTGATCAGGTGAATAAAGGAAAAACGTGACGAGAAATCATTAAATTTATTTATAAAACATTTTTTAATGAAATAAAAACCCTTCGACTTGACGAGTGTAATTTTTTAATTACATTGCGTCAAGTCAAGCTTTTCTCCCGTTCAGTAGCAAAACACATGTCTTGACTCTTGCTTGAACGTCCATCGTCACCAGGCTGTTAGATATAAATTTTAAACTTTTATGATCATTACCAGGATTTTAAAAAGTTACAAAAACATTTATTTAATTTAAATAAAAACCATTTTTAAATTATTTAAAAATAATTTTTACTCATTTTTATTTTATTAAAAAAATTCTACTTGGAGACCACTAAAGCGTACTTTTTTTACACCAAACTTTTTATTAAAAAAAGTTATGCTACTTTTACCCCAAATAAAGTTGACTTTTAAAAAATTACTGAAATGAAATGTTTGAAATTTGAATACTTAGAAAGTTTTATTGTTTATTTTTTGACAAAAAGAATTCAGTTCAGAATTTAGAGATTGTTTTAAAACCAGATTTTTAAAGTCACTAAAAATTAGTTGTCTGCCAATTGTTTAGCTAGCAATACTGTTCATGACAAATTGAGTTGATTGAAAAATACTTATATTGAAGATAAATATTTTTCCTACCAGGTTTCTCTTTTCTTAAGTAGACATTTACTAATATTTTATTCTTTTTCCTGCTGATATGAAATAAATAAGGTATCGTCAAGTTAAGCACCCAAAACAATTTTGTGTTCCGGAGACTGAATTATCTCTCTTATATTTCTTGGCAATACGGAAACTTCTTTATGCGCCGTGTCCCCCGCCCCTCAGGCGATCATGACTCTCCACAATTTCCTTTGTAGCTCTTTGTTATTTCTCCTAAATCTTTTCTCGTCATCTATTTACTCGTGCTCCCTATGTTATGCGTTGTTTTCCTCTGTTCCTCTTGCCTTCAATCTTCCTGATGTTAAGTATAAGTGTCCTTTTTGTTTTCATTTTAAAACTTTGTTGTTGCTAACTAACATGTTCGGTCCATAGTATTCTCAGCATCCTTCTATAGAATCACATTTCTTTTGCTTCAAGTTTCTTCTTCATCTAAGAAGAGATTGTCCTGCATTCACTGTCATATAGGAGGACTGATATAACAGTTCAGTATTGTCATGATATTTGAATTTGATCTTGTCAGTAATTAAATCTAGTTGAGTAAAGGTGCATACATTTTTAGACCATCTTTTCTTCTCATTGAAAGTATTTTCTAAGGCAACATAATTTATACCTAAGAATATTCTTCTTCTTTATTTCGAGCAAACTCATTTCTTTCGATGAGATTTACTAGTCATGCTGTTTTTCGGTTGCTCTAATATTTACACTATAAGTACAATTCAGTACTAATAGTTACAACTTCTACTTGCAACCACAGTATTCAGCTAACTAGAATTGGTGTTGATCCATGCCATTGTAGTTAACTCTGTCGTTTATCACCAACCATTCATCACTGCATATCAAGACAATGTATCGATCTGTTGATGCTTGCCTATCTATACAACTGGAGAGCTGCTGCCCACTCCAGGTTTTTTTTCCATTGGGATTTACTTCTCTAGATCAGGGGTTTTCAAACTGTGGTCTGCGGACCACAGGGGGTCTGCAGGGACAAGATAGAGGGTCCGTGGACAGCAAAGACTTTTTTTATGGATGATGTGCAACTTATAAGAAATTCAAATATCTTATTTAGTCATGACAAAATCGAAGCCTTTAAGAAAAAACTGAATATATGGACTGCAAAAGTTAGTAAGAAAACTTTAGATATGTTCCCTACACTGGATGAATATCTCGGCAACAATGGTTCAGTTAATGTTGATTTGATAATTGTAGATGTTAAACGACATTTAGTATCACTTGCTGAAAATTTTGACAAATATTTCTCGAAAGATGTTCCTGATATTGAAAATTTTGACTGGATCAGAAATCCGTTTAATGTTGAAATAGCTAATAGCATGCTCACAGGAAATGAATTGGAAGAACTGGCGGAAATTTCATGTGACAGAACTTTAAAAATCAGTTTTGTGCAGCAACAACTTTCGAAATTCTGGCTCACTGTAGCCTCCGAGTATCCATTGTTATCTTGAAAGGTAGTTAAGATTTTGTTACCATTTGCAACAAGATATTTATACGAAGCAGTATTTTCGGCACTAACCAATCTGAAAAACAAATACAGATCCAGACTTGCTCCAGAAAGTGACTTACATGTATGTTTATCAGTAATATCGCTAAGAATTGACAGTTTGTGCAAAGCCAAGCAAGCACATCCTCAACTAAGTGTGTATTAAAAAAATTCTGTGTGTGTAATTGACAATAAAACTATCTGTTAAATACTATTACTGTTTTCATTTACATGTAAAATTAATATTTTAATGTAACAAAATTTGATTTTGTTACATTTTGCAGCAACATGCAGCATTAATTTATTTGAACACTTATGTCTAAAGTAAGCTTTAAACCAGCTTTTATTGCAGTAATGCAAAATTATGTTATACTCAGCAAATATTTATGTATAAATTTCATAAGTGTTTATAAGGGGGTCCCTAAGGTAAGGCCTGAAATATAAAGGGATCCGCAAGTCAAAAAGTTTGAAAACCCCTGCTCTAGATGAATAATTTTCTGTCTGACACCTACCCATTGACTTGTCTGGCTAGGTTGAACCTACCAGGGAATAAACTCCTAACAGCATCTAGGTCAGAGACACATGCAAGTCACTCTATCATGGTGCAGAAAAGTGTTATGCACAATAGCTACAATTTTGGAATCTATTGTAAATTTATGTTTTACTATTAATACTGCATATGAAGCTGAATGAAATGAGCTAAGTTTAACATTTAGATATATTAGACATAAAAATTTAAAACTTTAGCATTCTTCTATGTGCTGTGTCCCTTCAGGACATTGGTGATTATGGCTTTCCACAACTTCCTGTTCTTTGTAGCTCTTAATAAATGTAGTTTTTTTGTTATCTCTCCCAAACCCTGCTCTGCCATCCATTTACTCAAGCTTGCAAGTTGGGTTATGTGTTGCTTTCCTCTGACCCTTTTACCTTCAATCTGTCCTGTGAGTATCAAATTTTCCAAGCCCTCTTTCCTCATTATGTGCTCCAAAAATTTCAACACTCTTCCTGGTGTTAAGTATAAGTGTCCTTTTTGTTTCCATTTTTCTAGAACTTTGTTGTTGCTCACGTTTGGTCTATGGTATTCTCAGCATCCTTCTGTAGAACCACATTTCTGTTGCTTCAAGCCTCTTCTTAATATGTGAGGAGATTGTCCCATCATATAGGAGAACTGCTGTTGCATAACAGTTCAATACTCTTTTCTTTGTTTTTAACAAAGTTTTTCTGTTTTGTAATTCTTTGCTCAGCTTTTGGAAGGTATCTTTTGCTATCTCAATGCGCCTTCAGATTTCAGTGTCACACTTTCTGCCCTCTCGTCATACTGTATCTTTAATGCTTTGATGTAAACTGTAGCTGACATTTGTTGCATTTTATTTCTTGAAACTGATTGCATCAATAAAACCTTTAATGTGTCTGAAGACATTCTTTTCAGAATGAAACGTATAAAAACTGATTTTTGTCTCATTGATTCTGATATTTTTTTAAATTGCCCCAAGCAAGATGCAAGAGGTTTCTGGGAGTGGAAGAGAATTAAAAGACTTTAGTGAGTAGAAAGGACAATAAAAGAACAGGTCTCAAGGAGACAGAAGATTTTTAAATTTTTGAAGGTCATAGGTGGCAGAGAAGCAAGAAATCAGAAAAAACTTCCACAGGCACGAAGTGTGAGAAAATAAAACTATTAGAATAGAATTTACAGCTACATCTAGCTATGTTTAAATACATGCAGTCAAAGTACCAAGGAGGAGAACTCATTAGAACAATTGCCATGAAAATATTTATAGAAAGGACAGAGGGAAGCCATGTCATAGTGGTGTGAAAGTGACTGTGTAGAGTAATTAGCCATGGTTAAATGTAATTGGCAGAAATGCCCAAGAAACAGAATTGACAAAATTTGCAATAAACAATAAGAGGAAGAAAAGAACATGGCAAAAATAATACTGAGCAAACAATATATGCAAGACAAAGCAACAGTAATAAGGCAAAAAGTTCACAAACTAAGAATGCTGTTAGTGTACGAAAGGAGACGCAGATGAGTGATTGCAGCATTCAAGCTTCAAGACAAGACAGAAGTAAATCTGGTGAGACTTAGAAGTGGCCTATCTTTGGGGCTAGGAAGAAAGCCAGTATGCATCTATATGTTTGGTCTATAAATTTGTGGAAGGGGTCTTTTTGCAGTCATATTTCCCACTGTTGAACCAGACCAGCAGACTAAAGTCAAGATGCCAGATCAAGACCAATAATATTACAAATCCTTCTTTGAATTTTGCTGAGAATCTCAAGATATATAGCCAGGGCAACAAAGCAGCAATATTTAATATCATATTTTGCATAGACCATGAAGTCTGGGTATTTTAGGTCAATATTTGATCAATTTTGGCCAATGTTTTATCCTCCCTATTAACTAACTTTCTCATCGATTTGTTGAGTTTTTGTCTCTTGGAAATTATTTTATTGTTATTAACTTTTTTCATAAGCGTTAGTATCATAATTCTTTTTTTATGACATTAAATCCTTCATTCTTTGTTCTGTATTCTGATAACATATTCTTGTCTTTATAAAGGCATTTTAGGAATTATAGAGTGATTGGCCATGGTTAAAAGTAATTGGCAGAAATGCTCAAGAAACAGAATTGACAAAATTTGCAATAAACAATAAGGGGAAGAAAAGAACAGGTAAAAAAATAATATAAAGCAAACAAACAATATATGCAAGGCAAAGCAACAGTAATAAGGCAAAAAATTCACAAAATAAGAATGCTGTTAGTGCACAAAAGGGGATGCAGACAAGTGATTGCAGCGTTCTGGCTTCAAGATAGAACAGAACTATCTTATTGGCAGTATGCATCTGTATATTTTGTCTATAAATTTGTGGAGGGGGTCTTTTTGCAGTCATATTTCCCACTGTTGAACCAGACCAGCAGACTAAAGTCAAGATGCCAGATCAAGACCAATAATATTACAAATCCTTCTTTGAATTTTGCTGAGAATCTCAAGATATATAGCCAGGGCAACAAAGCAGCAATATTTAATATCATATTTTGCATAGACCATGAAGTCTGGGTATTTTAGGTCAATATTTGATCAATTTTGACCAATGTTTTATCCTCCCTATTAACTTTCTCATCGACTTTTTGTCTCTTGGAAATTATTTTATGGTTATTAACTTTTTTTATAAGCGTTAGTATCATTGAAAAAAAAAAAAAACACTTTTGTTCAGTGATTTTATATATAATTTTATGTGCTGCATCCCTTCACGACATGGGTGATCATGGCTCTCTACAATGTCCTATCTTTTGTAGCTCTTAGTAAATTTTATGTTTTCATTATCTCTCCTAATCCCTGTTCTGCCAATCATCTGGACAAGTTTATTAGGCTATTCACTGCATTCTTCTGTCCCTCTTTCCTTGTCAGTGTCAAATTTTCTAAGCTCTCTTTCCTCGTTATGTGCCCTAGAAATTTAAAATGTCTCTGATGTTATAAGTGTCCTTTTTGTTTCCATTTTGTCTCATGGTGAGCCAAGTTCAAAAAAGTTGGTGGGGAGGGGGCATATATTAATAAAGCATCAACAATGTACTGGAAATATGTTGACTATTTAGGTCAGGGTTTCCCAACCTGGGCGATATCGCCCAACTGTTGGGTAGGTGATAAGAAACTGAACAGAAAACAGTGGGCAACTGGAAATTTTGGTAGGTGATATAGAATTTTGATTATTTACATTGTTCGGACTGTTGTCCTCATCTTTATTGTCATGTTCATGACATTTCAGCCATCTTCAGGTAATTGGAAATGTAGTGAACATGACACTAAAGATGAGGACAACAGCCTAAATAATGTAGTGATTTTCCAAGCGTAGCTCAGATGTGGCACAAGGCCTAAAGTATGGGGCACCCAGTGAGGATCAAACTCACTACTCAGTTGTAATTGTTCTAGTTAGACAAGTTTGCTAACCATTACACCACCTCGAGGTGCCCACAGTCCAAATAATGTAAATAATTACAATACCTCATCTCAGAATATAGATAGATTTTGAGTATTAAAAATGTATTTCAATATATGCTACTTGAAAAAAATATTCAAAAATATGCAAAGAAACTGTATTAAAAAAAATAAGGCAGTAGGTTAAATGGTAATAAGTGAGTCACATTCTGGATAAGATATAAATATCCTCACAAACAAAGAATATTTTGATATTTTCTATAGTTTTGAGAAGTTTCATTAACATTCAAATAGTTCTTTAGATGAAATAACACTTTTTTCAGATATAAATCAAATAAGAAAAGACCAAGAACAACTCTGCCAGTAAAATTAAGTAACCTCAGGATATTTTTTTATTTAATATAAAATTGTCTTTACTCATTTTTTTCCATATTTGCCGTCTCAAAACTATCAAGACAGGAAAAGTGACCATGAAAACATAATCTACCCATCACTGTATACTTTTGAATGTTTACTATATAGGTGAATGGGAAAAGTGCACGATGATGCAAAAAAGGTTAGGAATCCCTTGTTTAGGTTAAATACTTTGGAAGGTACTAGTTTCTAAAAATTCTAAGAAAAAACAAGCTAAAACATTAGTAAAAGGAGATTCTTATCAGTAATCCTAATTTTTGTTTATAAAAATCATTGTCGAAAATAATGATCTAAAACTGTTCATTGGAAATCCACTAATAAAAATGATCTCATAAACTTCTATTTACACCATAGCTACAAAATAAAATTCAGAATATTTATTACCTTTCTTAAAGTAGAGGCTTACTGAAGGAAGTCATTTTATGAGCAGTACAAATAAGAGCTAAAAAAAGTTTGAGAATATATGGCAAAGATAAACTCTAAACTTGAAGAGGCTTGCAGTCAAAATATGTTGAAACACCAATTCTCATACAATCACCAACCTGTAAAATTACCATTTGTATAAATAGCTAATAAATTGAAAATTTGTTCTTATTTTGTGATTAATGTTTTTATTTATTTATTTCAGCCGGATGCTCTTCGCAATGGAGTTTTTGACACTGCTTATTGGTTACTTGCTTGTATTTTCTTTTTTTACCGTTGTGTGTATATGTGGTGACCATCCATCTTGCATTAATGGACCAATTGGCTGGGTCAAACGCTCATTAACAAAGGTAAATTATTACTTTTTCTCAATTAGTTCCCATATAAGAAAATAAGGTTTCCTTTTATTCATTTAAATAAATGCTGCATTTAACTGCTGCCAAAAGTTTCAAATCATTTGATAATTCTAGATACTAAAGTAAGTTTTATTATCATCATTGTCCATACAGGCAGCTCAGAAATTCTTAACTATTTTTTGTTTTTTTAAATGCTATCTTCATTCAAAGCATAGGTGATTATGACTCTCCACAGATTCCTTTTCTTTATCATCTCTGAATTTGCCTTCATTCTTGTGAATGATTTCTCATTGCCTTCTCTGTGGTTTGGAATTAAGAGGTTTCCTTCTGAGACTGGTCTCCACCCAAGGTTAGAGAGTGCTGGAGGAGAAGAGATGGATTCCTGCTATACCAAAGGGTATTTGTAAGTGAACACAGCAGATTTAACTAGAATGTGAACATGGCTTGCTAATTCCACTTTCCATAACAGTATCTGTTACACCATCCACACATCCTGTGTCTAATTATTCCTTTTCTTATTATGAAAACAACAATTAATAAACTTAGTTATCTCCCTTAGGTATTTTTTCTTTCAATTTATTCTCAAAGTTATAGGATAAATTATAATGCATGAACAAAGATTATGCCATTTTTGGTGTGCCATACTGAACTACAGAATGGTTATAAATGTAATTGACAGAATTCTCCACAAGCGGAATTGACAAAGTTCTTGATAAACAATAAGAAACAGTTGGCGGAGGTAGAACAGCACAGAAAATAGTATGAAACATATAGATACATAGACAGGTTTGCCTGTCAACCGGTTCACCCTCCTCCCTGGTAATAGGAGTTGACATGCCGTTAAATCCAACATCCATCCATCCATCCTCCCTGGTCTTTTGAACTGTAGTAGAGGTTTTACCCTTGTTCCCTGTTTAGGATTACATTTCTGGTTCCTTCTAAAGCCTTTTCCTTATGTAACCCTATACCTTGTGTGGCTCATGGGTCTTGTACAGGGTGAATATCACTGTAATATATATATATATATATATATATATATATATATATATATATATATATATATATATATATATATATATATACTAGCAGGAGAGCCCGGCGTTGCAACAGTAAGAGATAGATCAAGTATCGACCATCATAAAGACTGAAAAATAAAATTGACTAAGATTATTGTTGACGGACACGCATGTCTTAATTAGTTTTTTTTTTTTTTGTTTCTTTTTACAAATTGGTCAAACTCAAACAAAAACATTGTTTTCAATCGTTATGAGTCTATCGATTGAATAGAATTTTATTATAAACAATTGTCTTGTAAATGGAATTTTAAAGCATTCTGAATGTAAAAATAAAAGAAAAAAGTGTGCAAGACACTACCTGCCAAAAAAAGTGAAGTTTTGTTGAAATCGGTTGAAAATGTAGAAATCCGATCCAATATATAAACGTACAGACACGCGCACACACACACACACACACAATCTGTGTTTTATAATAAGTAAGATATATATATATATATATATATAACAGTGAACATAGAGGCGACAGTCTGTTTCATGCTAGATGCAATCATCAGGCCACACAGCCTGACGATTGCATCTAGCATGAAACAGACTCTAAGTGTTGACTTCTATGTTCACTTTTATATTTACACATGCTCTATCTCTGATATTGAGCACTTTATCCCATAAATATAGCACATCTTAAAACTATATTTCTTCATATATATATATATATAAGCTTTATTTTTGGTGTCTACTCATATTTGAGTAGACACTCCATTTATTTATTAAACAGTACATTTATTTATTTTTGTATACTGGCCTAATATATTTTTTTTACTCACCAATAGCACAATTCTGTGATTCATGCACTATGTAATCCAATGATTCTCAAACTTTTTGAAGTCAGGGCGCACTTGAAATCCTACCAATAATTGTAGGCGCACTATATACAAATTTCAGAAAAATATGTTATAATGAAGTCAAATATTGCAGAAAAGAAATAATACAATAAAAATAAAATGAGGCACACCTTAAGTGTTTATGAGAAACATGAGCCTGATGAGTCTTAGCAATTTCTTCAATGTTTAGGTGTATATTTGATAGACAAACTCTCATTTCCTCGTCAATGTAATCATTAGATGCTGATTGAAGACTGACTGTTGTATAGTTTAAATATTTATATATATATATGGTACTACAATGATAGCAGAGCAGTCCATTTTATTTTAGGGGTGGAGGTAAAAAATATATACACATATACAAAAAACACATATGCACACACTTACAGACCTCCAAGTACAAAAATATGATTCAAATACAAATATACACATCTAATAAGTACTTTTAAATATAATAAAAATGTACACATGTACACACAAATATCATGACATATACAAATATATTTATTTTTTTTGTGACACCTTTATTTCTTATCCCACCAATGTTTTTTTTATTGTTTTATAATCTCTATTCAACTTTAGAAATTTTCAACGTTATGTTCCACTCAGTCAATAACTAGTTTTTCTTTTGATGTTATGCCTTTCTTCCATCCCGTGTCAATCTTTATCTGAAATCAAAAGAATTAATATAATTGCAGTCTTATATATATTTATTTACAATATGATGAACAATCTTTGGGTTGCATAATAACGTCTCACACCACCAATTAAATTTTTTTTTTTTATAATGTCATGACCATTCAACATGTAGGTGATCATGACACTCCACAAATTCCACTATGTGAATTGCCAAGCATTCATGGGAAAGATAGTGGAGTGGTTTCCCATTGCCTTCTCTACAATTTAGAATTCAGTGTTTTCCTTCTTTTAGACTGGTTGCCACCAAAAATGAGAGCCCTGTCCAAACTGTTATTTAACCTTGAGCTGAGTGAAGAATAGATGTTTTTAACGAGAGCATTTGAGTGAAAGTGAATACAAAAGACAAGGCAGAAATTTGAACTCAGCCTCCAATTTTACTTTCCATGCCAATATCTATTACATTACCTAAACATCAAAGTTATTGTAAGTATTTCTAAAAAAAATTAGGTATTATAAACTGAAAATAATGCAATATATCAACACCCTTCCTTGATGTTATTAGCATTCTGGATAACTGTTCTCCTGTGGCTTTATCCCTAAATATTGAAATCTGTCATGTTTTTGTTTTATAGACATACCATATATTCTTGTGCATAATACAGGAAATTTTGAATGAAAATTAAAGGCAAGAAAAGGGTTTTGTATTATACACAAGTATGTTTTTATAATTTTTTGCTCAGCTTAAAAAAACCTCTTATTTGAAACAGCAAGATTGGAAATGCACTTAGCACAATAGATAATAAAAGATAAAATAAACAGGTGTTGATAAAAATTGTTTACAAAAAGATATTTGTTATGTCAGCAGTATTTTTTTCTCTCTTCATTCTTAATGAAAGACAATATTTTTTATTTTGATAGTTTATACAAATATAATAAAGTCATATCAAACAGAAAAGTATGTTAGATTAATTAACACCTTAAGTTGTATTACCAGGTATGTCGAGTTAGGAACTTTCTCCCCAAAATTTGAAAATATTTTTTTAAATGAAAATTAGGACACCCCCCCCCCACACACACACACTAGCTAAACATCCAGTTCATTTCTACTGTTAAATAAAGTAAAAAAAAAAGTTAAATATTTTAGTGAAATATATGTATGACAATGAGATTTTATTGGCTAATATAATTCAAATTTTCAAAATAATTACATAGGAACGCAGGAGTTGTATTATATTCAAGGATGCAATTTATTCCTTATTTTTAGTTTCAGAAACACAAGGTCATATTATACTTGAAATGTATTAAATACAAGAAAATACAGTAATATGTGCACCCCCATATCTAACTCTCTTTGTACTGTTTCTAGTTGCTGAGTTTTGAATTCAGAGTTGTTCTTCTCCTAGACTGATTTCCAATAGTGGATAGAGCCTATATTCCCTGCTATTTAACCCATAGCTGGGAGAATATGGTAAATTCATTCCTTTTCTATGGGTATTTGTGTAAAAGTGAATGTAACAAACTTGATGGGAATTTGAACTCAGCTCACCTGATTCCCACTTCAAGCTGCTAACAATTACAGCACCTGCACATCCCATGTGATATATTTGATATAAAACATATAACCTAAAAATTTTGCCAAGAACATTGATTTGCATAATAAAATTTGACATAGTGGAGAATGGATCTGCCAAAACATTGTGGCAATGACTCTTTTCAAGTTTAAAATAGTAACTTTCTATAATCAGGGGAAGAGTCATTATCATTCCAAGCATTGATTGGATTACAGAATTCATTCTTTGCTTTAATTTGTTGTTACTGCATCATTTCAGCCAATCCCTTTTTACTGACTTCTTTGAGGAAAAAGACAGGAGAGTTAAAATGATGTGACTATTGGGGAAATTATTAATTATTCATTCAGGTAAAAAGTACAAGGCAAGTGGAAATGACAGAAAATTTTTTTTTTTTTTCAGAGAACCAGTTCCATTTTTTTTTTTTTTTTTTTAAATGTTAGGCTTTGTATCTTTATGCATAAAAGAAAATATTTACCATTTTTATTTTTCATTATTAATTCTGACTCCATGATTAAATAAAAATTGGAGCGTATTTAAATCTAGAAAAAGTTGTGCTAAAAAGCAAAATGAATTTCCATTGTAAAATTTGGCATGAAAAAATCAAAATCAGTCTTATAGGTTTCCCAAAAATATCTGCTATTGTGTCTAAAAAAAATTAAATTATTAAATCTAGGTTTTTTTATATATATATATATATATATATATATATATATATATATATATATATATATGTATATATATATATATATATATATATATATATATATATATATATATATATATATATATATATATATATATATGTATATATATATATATATATATATATGTATATATATATATATATATATATATATATATATATATATATATATATATATATATATATATATATATATATATATATATATATATATATATATATGTATATATATATATATATATATATATATATATATATATATATATATATATATATATATATATATATATATAATAAAAATTACCTCATATGAGGAATAACCTATTTCGGTAGACGATGATATCGGTCATCTGTCTTATCAACCCCAGCGTGGAATGAGTTCAAATCTATAAAAGATGAGGCAGGAAGTAGAATTTAATTTTTATTGAAATGTGTAAACTCTGTTAGATGTTTGTGGCACAGTTCATCCAGCCCACCACCACACTGTGCCACGAAGGAGCAAAAATATAATTATTTATATGGAATTATCAATAGATTGTAGTTAAACTTATTAAGTATAAAACATTAATATAAATGTAAGTAAAAATGCCAAAATTCGGCCAGTTTGATTTTTGCATCTGACAATAGAAATGTTTTAAGAAAATCAGTGAAATAAAAATTTGGTGACTTTTGCAACTTTTGATATCCAAGCACTTTTTGTGCAAGTACATGCAATGAAGTTTCTAAGAAAAGTGATACAAGTTGAAGAAATTTGTCTCTGGTATTGTACCAGTGTTAGGAATAACTTATGTCTGTGATCAAACAATCTCAAAAATGAAGAAAAAAAATCAGTACATCAAACGAGGTTGACTGAACTTTTGAAAGCAATTCTCTTGGTTGGATGCAGCAATACCAAAACAAATATTAATTCTATCTTAAAAGGTAAATACCAGTTTCACAAATCTCACTAATCTTTTGTGCTGCTTAGTTTGTGAGATTCAGATATGTGTGCACTTGGTGTGATATAACTATTTTATTGCTAATGTCTCCTTTGATAACTTTTTGGTAAATAAATATTTGTTGTCTTTATTTTTTGTGCATTCAGTGTATTGAACAAAAAGGTTAACCAGTCTGCGCCTGTCATTCTCTTAGTTTGGTGACCTCTAGTCTAACGTAATGTCATGTGTAACTGCTATTGGGAATGAGGCAGTACAAAAAGAATTCAATTTATTTATTTTATATTATTTTATTAATTAATTTCTTTGTTAATTTTTAATACTATTATAATATGTGCTCATATCTTATCTGAAAGTTGGAAAAGTATTATAAAAAATTAAACACAGACTTTGTCAGTTCTTTTTAATGAAACTAGATATATCACCATCCCAGCAGAACAAGACTTGATTACCTTACTTAAGGAATTCACATCTGTTGTTGGGACCTTTTTGAACTTTACATCTGGTAAGTTTGTTTTTGCACCCAAAAACATGACGATATATATATATTTATTTCTACTTATAACTCATTAATGTAGACTATCCTAAAAATGCAACAGGTGCATTAATAAGTTAAGATAATGTCATTCTTTTTTCCTCTAACAGAATTGTTTCTATTTCTTTTAGGCATTTTTTTGTTTGATTCCTAAGCAAATTGTTGACCTTGGCACAAGATTTGTTTATTATGTTTACCAACAAAGGTGAGTAGCAACTGAATAAAATCTTAGCTGTTCTATCCTAAGTTGTATTCTCTTGTTTTATTATTTTCTCCATTTCATATTTTGCATCTTATGTAAAATTTAAGAAACTTGCTGTTCTTTTTTAAGCCTGTGTAAAAACATAAACCTATAGAAATAGTTTCTTTTAATACAGTTTATAAATAATTCACCATAAACAGATTTAGGCAAGTAAAATGTTCATAGAAAGACCAATATTCACTTTCTCACACACGTTTCTTATTACTATAAATGTTATATTGAGTGAGTAAATGTGTTTCAGTAGGCATCTCTGTTTTTATTTTATATATCTATTTTTAGTAGTGAATTTAATGTCTACTGGCCTAGAGATAAAGTTTCATTAAAGATAATGTGCCTCTTTACACGAATCAAACCTGTATTTCCTTTTTAATCTGGGGAAACCACTTTCAAGCTAAGTGGGCTTTACCATTGGGCTATGGGGAGTCATCCCAGCAAAGCAAGTCTCAATTACCCTACTTAAGAAATTCACATCTTTTGTTGAGAGCTTTTGAGGCTTACATCTGCTAACTTTATTTTCATGCTCAAAACATGAACAAAGTAATTTTTTAAGTAATTAATGATTTATTTTAGTCTGACATTATTTCTTATTACTAAATTAAATTTAGTTGGTATACATGTTTGAATAGACATCCCTGTTTACATTTTGAAATAGTGAAATGTCTACCAGCTCAGAGATTTAAAGTCTAACTAAATAATGTACTTGTTTAAAATCTGCTTTATTCGTGTAATTTGTTGTTCTATTAACTTAAAAAAACTAAGTGTGCCATACACAAAGCATATCATACAAAAATTAAGGAATTTCTTTTACACAACTTAAAGGTCTGAGAATATAAGTGATCAACTTGTATACATATGTATAATACTATTTTTTTCTGCCCATTTCAACTTATTTCACACTCAATATGTCCATTATCCAAACCATAATTGATGAGTTTACAAAATTTCTTTAAACTATTGAACTCTTTCTTTATGCTGCTCTTGTTGCCACAACGTTTCAGATGATATTCTTCACTATTTACATTATTTGGACTATTGTCCTCATCTTTGTCGCCATATTTATTACAACATTTCGGCCGTTGTACATGCCGGCCTTCTTGAGGTGGTTGGAATGTTGAACTGAACCCTTTATTTAATTCCCCTCTGAAAGTTCTCCACTGCCTTAACCGGGTATTGAACTCACACTCTTTGGGTCCTGTCACTGGATCTAACCAATGCCTTTATCCACTGTGCCATGTGTTCAGTTTGACATTCTAACCACCTGAAAAAGTCCGGAGTGTACAATGGCCAAAATGTTGTAATAAATATGATGAGGACAACAGTCCAAATAATGTAAATAGTGTACATAGTACCTCATCTCAGAAATATAGACAAATAATGACGTTCTTCATATATACAATCTATCAGGAAAGAGATTTAATCTTTTTTTTTTTTTTTTTTTTATTTCAGAGAATGGGTTGTTTTCTCTTTTAAACTTTTATGTTTCAAGAAAATAGCAACATATAGCATTTTTAAAGTTTGTTTATAACAACATCAATAATGTTAATTATGATGATGATTGTAAGCACTTTCAGTCCCACTATGAAATGCTAGGAGCAAAACGGATCGAGCAGCAGTTTGAATAAAGTTGATGAATTTACTGTGCATTGATTTGACTTTTCAGTGACCGGTCTCATGTAATTTAACTTTCCACTCTAAGCCCAATGGAACAAAGTTCTTAAAACAGTGTTTTTAAAGTTTCTAAAACGGACAGCATTTTTTTAAACATCTTTTAAGGGTTTCCTTATTCACAGATTCTGTATTTGTGAATTCATATTTTTATGTGATACTTGTAAGATTTATCCTCCAGAAAGATTTAACAGATTCATGAAAGATACAACCACACATCTTTTTTTATTTTTTAAATGTTGTTACATTTCTTCTATTTATTAGGAATCCTACAATGCAGATCGTGTTTGGCATCTTGGTACTCTCTGGTCATGCAATTGTCGTGATTGACATCTTCCCGATTCTCTACGGTATTTTCCATGATGACAACCACGTTCTCGTGCCTATGCTGCTGCTGTTTCTCAATCTTTTTGTCTTTTACAAATTATGCGGAGCTGATCCAGGGGAGATAACTAAGGATAACCACGGAGTCTACTCTTTCATCTACCCTTACGATGGCGCAATCTATCAAAAGAAAACAATTTGTAAAACATGCAATTTCTCCAAGCCAGCCAGGTCGAAGCATTGTAGTAAGTTGGAAATTTCGCTCGATGAGTATTTGACATTTTCTTGTTTTGGATTATTTGGCATTTGTGTATATATATATATATATATATATATATATATATATATATATATATATATATATATACACGTCATGAACAACAATGCGATATTTTGCTTCCTGTGTTTCATATGCAAGAATTTATCGTTGCATAGCAATCTTCCATGCAAACAAAACAAACAATCATTGTTGCAATGTCCGCATAACCATTCTAAAACAAAAAATTACCATCTTTGTTATATAATTTATTATTTAATTTATTGTAATGTACTTGAAATCCTTGATGATGGCTTATGTAAGCCACAAGCTTAGACAAGATTAACAATATAAACATGTATCAACATGGTGATTTTCTTTCGTGTTTCAGTGATAATGCTAAAAAGCTTATTCGACAATATGAAAGGAATTTACTTAAAATAAATAGACAAAACTTGTCTATATTATTTAATGAAGCATGCATTACTGAAAAATGCTGCCTAAATACACACAATATATGTGTGTGTGTGTGTGTATATATATATATATATATATATATATATATACACACATACACGCAGTCTGAAGTTATTAAGCAAATCATATAAACTTCAATAATTCAAATTTGGTTTGAAAAAAATTATCAAACTTTAAACAATCAATTTAGAAGTCAAAACAAAGCCCGAGTTAAAAATTTTAGGTAGTATCAATGTTTTATTGAAGTTATTTGATGCATTCTAAAAAAACTGCCATCTGAAGTTATTAGGCAAAACCAAATAATCACATCTTACTTCAATAGAAAAATAAAATCATCAAAAATTGATCAACACCTATAATAGAACAATTAACAAACACACATGATAAATCTTTGAATCCAGTAAACCTTCTCATAAGAAATTGCCGGTAAGCTTTCATCCATTGATTTTTTTTAATTTTTTTACTTCACCAGGTTGAATTTTTGACATAGTGGTTTTAATTGCTTCCCATAGGTCTGCTTTGCTGTTATACTGTTTGCCACCTTCATATAATTTCATCTTCAAAATTGACCATAGATTTTTTGATCAGATTCAGATCAGGCCATTCCATTATCTTCTCTCCTGTAAATCTTTTATGCTCAAAGAATTCATGGGTAAGCTTAGATATATGAGGAGCATTATCATGCATAAATACACACTTCACTTTGAAATGCGAGACTGGGACTCATGCCATGCAAAGAAAATCTTGTTCATAAAATTGCAATAGTTAGCACTATTCAGTTTAACTCCTTTATTGACTTTAATAGCCCAATAATGGTTTAGTTGACAATTCCAGCCTATATCATAACACTACCACCTCCTTGTTGCCTTCTTTTAGCTATAGGCATGTGTGAATTGGATAAAATCCATCCTTTGGCCCATCCATCAGGCCCATGTCACTCGAGATTCATTCGTAAAAATTAATTTAGAAAAATCAATTTTCTTGACCCAATTTTGACACTTTAAAATATTTGCTTTAGTGAGAGGAGTTTGCCTTGGAGATTTTTTACCGATCTGAATTGACAAAGTGTTTTATGCCTTTTGTCCTTCTTTACTCCCTCAATTTCAGCCTTTTCAAAGATCTGAGCACTAGTCAAAAGTGGTTGTTTTACTATAACTTGCTTTAGTTTACATTCATCTCAAGGAAGCGAGTTCTTAAAGTCTTTTCCTTTGTTTCAAGTTCGCAGTTTATATTTTCAACAGCCTTCTTTATTGTTCAATGATCTCTGCAAAGCTTCTTTGATATTTCCAATGTGGACATTTCCCCACCTTTCTTATTTTCTGTTTTTCAACGGTTTTTGGATCCTTCCCTTCACCAATTTTTCAACATATATTATGGACAAAAGGAAAAATAGTTTTTATTAAATTTCAGAGGTCTTAAGCTAATATTAGTTTAATCTGCATATTAACTTCAGTCAGTCCATTTTCATGAATTCCAAATATCTCAAAACTAACCATTAAAAATGGCAGAAAATTTAATTAAATACTTTACTAAGAGTGGAAATGGACAAATATTGGTTCGGAACTTTTTGAGTTATTGAGGTTTATTTGATTTGCATAATAATTTCAGACAGGCTGTATGTTTTTGTGTGTATATATAATATATATATATATATATATATATATATATATATATATACACACACACATATATATATATATATATATATATATATATATATATATATATATATATATATATATATATATGTAGCATGTAGTGGTTAGAATGTGAGTGAAATTGGGTAGACAGAACACTTGGGGGCCATCGATAGCTGTGCTAGCACAAAGTCACAAGTCATCATGACCGAGGGTTTGAGTGTCCAGGTCTTGTTCAGATTGTTGATCACACTAGATAACATGCTCTCACCCAGAAACTGTAACTAAGGTCTGCTCAGCATAGGTGCAGTATAAACCACAGGTTGGCCCTGTAGGCGTTAAACAAACACAAATGTGCCTAATTGAGAGTCTGCAATAGGGATTGGCTAGCCTCTCTAATATACAGGTATCCTTGAATATGAGTTGCCAGCTATTATTATATATATATCACAAAGTTAATGTCAAAAATTAAATTCAATAAATTTATTAATATTTTACAACTATTCTTAAAAATATACCACAAAATGTAAATAAGACATTTGTTGTCTTTGCCATATTGTCTTTCTCTTTTTTACATGGTTTGCAATTATTTTAAATGGTGAAATTCACAAAAAATATCATTATTAAGAATTTTATTAAAGAAAGTTAATTTAATTTTTTTCTTTATAATAATTCTTCATAATAATGAATATCTTGATTTATAAAATTAATTGTTTTAGGAATAATTTGTGTTTCCTTTATAACGTGAAGTATGTTGATACCATTTTTGTAAGAAAACAAAAAAAAATGAATGTAACTTTTCAATTGCACTGCTAATTTTTCCAGTGTACTATAAAGAAATTTGCCCTTTGAAAAAATTTAATTAAATATTTTTTCTATTATATTATTCTTTATAACAAAAAACATATTGACTTAACATTTAAAAACAAATTATTTACAGGTATTTAAAAAAAAATGTATGTTGAATTTTACTATCATTTTTGTTGTTAAAAATGTAAAACAAAATTAACCATTTTAATATTTTTACAGTAAATATTTAAAAAAAATAGTGTAAAAAATATTAAACTGGTTGATTTTGTTCAGATAATTGTATTTTAAGGGGGAGGAGGTGATTGATCCCCCCTAAAATACTATTACAGAAAAATTAATGAAGGAGTTTCAGATTGCTATCTAACTCAACATAAAACAGACCCTGACCAGTAAACCAGTTTGGAAATCCTTTGAAGCCTTGTAATTCCTTAAAGATGATGGAAACAGGAAAATAACCCTGTTTTTTCATTACACTGGTAGTAAAGTAGGTGTCTGAGTGTTGTAGAGTAGTTTTGACTGTGGAGGCTTGTATTTTAACTAAGTCGTCCTAAATTATGTTCGACGTACAAAACGTTAGGAACTTGAAATAAGAGTTAATGACGCAGCAATCTAGTTGTGATGGTTGATACTTCAATGTCCGACATCGATTGACTCACTCAGCACCACTGAGCCCAACTGGCGACCGCTACTACTACTACTACTAATTATGTGAGGGAGAGTCTATTAATAATAGAATGGATACGTTCAGGTATGACACTGAGTTACATTGATTTTACATTGTGAACTGAACCCCTTTTATAAAATTTAAGCAAATAAATAAAAAAGAAAAAAATTGATAATAGTAAGTAAATTAAAAAAGTTTTTCAAAAAAGTTTAAATTAAAATATTTAAATTGGAAGTGGGGGCGGTGATGTGTAGCTTTGTTATAGAAAACAAAATATGTAACTTTTTTCCATTGCTACATTAATAAAAAATGTCATTTAAGAATTAATTTTATTAGAAAAAAAATTCTGATAAAATTAATGTCAAGTAAATTCAATAAATCTAAATTTTGTTACTTCTTAAAATCAAATTTTAAAGATCAGGTCATTGATCATGTAACTATGATATACAAATTTTGTCTTCTCCAAGATGAGTGAGAACAATGGTTAAAATAACTCAAGACAACACCGTGGACAAACCAAACACTGTGAAAAGTACAACCCAGAAATCCATCATCAGTATTTGATCATTTGCTATCAAGTATATTACCTAGTCCTCAACTGAAACCAAGAACAACAAATAAAACTTCTGCTTCTTTGCAAAATGAGTTGGCACAGTTTCTAGAAAAAGACAAAATCCTCACTTTTGAAAATTTGTATCAAAATATTGATCAACAGGATTTTGTGTCAGCAGTTACATTCTATAAATCAAACAATCAGCTGTTTAGCCAATCTGTTGATTTTTTTTTTTTCACTGGAAGTAGTCCAGTGTTTTTAATTAACATTTTGAAAACTTGAGATTTGAATGTTATTATGCTGATATATATATATATATATATATATATTTTTTTTTTTTCTCTTTCAAGTTAAATATCAATGTTTTCAGTTCTGGTCACAAATCAATGAAGCAATTTGTTATCTTAGTAACTTAAAAATTGATAATAAGAAAGATTTTAAAAGAACATATTAATGTTATGTCACCAGAAAGGATTGAGATGAAATATTATGATTCTAATATTCTTATCAGAGCATTTGAATATTTTGTTACATCTCAGTCATTATACAACACAAAGGGAAGTTGCAGTTGGTATTATTATTATTTTTTTTTTCTCCTCTAGGGAACTGGAAGATAGGTTTTTGGGTATGACCTAAAACTACAGTTTTGTGGATGGGATATGTGTTGTTAATGTGTATTGTGTGTATATATATATATATATATATATATATATATATATATATATATACACGCACACACATATATGGGTATGTGTATATGCAGTGGACACAGAGAAAGGGTTTTTTTTTTTAATTTTTTGGTTGAATGTTTAACATGTAGTGTGTGCATGTATATATCTCGGTCAGAG